GCTTACAACTGTCTCAGGAAGTGAAAGCACCAGAAAATATATTAAGTCATACGCAGCTGTCATCCGTACGCAAGGAAGTACTTCAGTAAGCACAAGATGCCGAACACCCTTAGCAGGATGCAGCGCACCTTCATGCGACTCGCCGAATACCTCACGGCGCTTCGCGCTTGGTGATGTGAGAGCCTGGTTCGGTGAGAACCCGGCGTGCTCCGTCCCGGCTTACTAGGGATGCCAGGTCAATGGTCTAACGACTACGGCATGCACGACTATGAGTACATCCCCCCCCCAACCCCCCTCCCCTCAGGCGCAAGCAAACCCTAACCTCGGAGGAGTTTCTACTCTGACTAGGCGACTAAACGTTGCTCAGCAAAAAGCAGGGTGTTTGGTCCATGGCCACGCTCCCAAGAAGGTACGAGACAACCCCCCCCCGAACTCCTGCACCCAAACACGCCGCGAACCTCACCTGAACGCCTTCCACCGTGTCTTCCACCGTTTTCGGCATCGACGGCAACGGCAGCCGCTCGATACCCGGGTCCACCACAGGCACCGCGGCCGGCTTTGACGCTCCCCCGACGGCACCGCCACCTCGTTGTGAACTCCCTCCCCTCTCGACCTGCTGCTCCTGCTGCTCCTGCTCCACACGTCGCGCCGGCGTAGCAGTAGTAGCGACCGCACCAGCATACCCCTGTGCGGCAGCAGGACGTCTGTAGTGGCTCGTGCCGCTACGGCCGCCGCCGCCGCCGCCGCTCGCCGGCGTCGTTGCGGCCCCGGCGTACCCGTTACTACCGGCAGGAGGAGGACGGCCGTAGGAAGTCGCGTAGCTGCTACTGCTGCTGCTGCCGTAGGTGTTCGAGAAGCCGTTCGCGCTGCCGTTCGGGCCGCCGCTGCTCTCGGCGCCGCCGCGGCCGTTGCCGGTGCCGAAATAGTCGCGCTGCCGCGTCCAGTCGGGCGCCACCACGATGTCCTCCCCTTGCCCCACGTAGGCGTTGTGCTCGTCCCAGTTCTGGGGAAGCGCCTCGTCCTCCTGCTGCGGCTGCGTAGGGATCGAAGAGGCCGTGTGAGGCAAACTCTCCCTAACCTCGCCAACCGCCACCGCCGCAGATGCCGCGGCGGTGTTGCTGCTGGTCGTGTCAGGATCGGCCTGTCGAAACATGGAGGGCAGTAGCACAGCAAACATGTAAGGTAATTTGAGGACTCTTTCAACAACATGTTGAGGGCTGGACATCAGGAAAAGGGACCCATTTTTGACGTAAAAGAAAACAAAACGGCACAGGAACAAAAAACATGCACGACGCTGCGGCGCCGGCCACAGACTCAACGAAACATACGAAGAATCCGACAAAAACACCAAAGATCAAACGGTGGCGTAAGATGAAGTGACTCATTTGTCGATGGTGCACCTGGTTGAGTCTCTCGATCAGCTCCTCTTTTCTCCCCGAGACTTTCAGCTTCTTCGCTCTCAGAATGTCCTTCAGCTTCGGCACCGTGAGCTTAGAATAATCCACCACCTCCACCTCCTCCGCCCCCTCTTCCTCCTTCTTCGCCAGCCCGGCATCTTCCCGAAACGTCGACAGTTCGTCCGCCAGCACGGCAGAAGCCGCCGGCATCTCCTCCCGCCGTGGCTCCACCTGAACACAAAAAAGACGCCAGCATGACAGATTTTCAAGCGTGCCTGCAACGTTGCAAAAACTGCTGCCCCAGGCTTCAAAATTGGCATCACCCGCCGCTGCCACCACTACAAGCTGCAATTTTGACGTGACCCACTAAAGACGGCCGAAAAGAGATAGCAAACAACGCAATCACTTGAACAGATATCCAACTCACGCGTCTTCTTTTTCACTCTGTAGCCGGGGCACAGGCACGGCATTCTATTCCACTCATTCGGGGTTTAGGCCGCAGCTGTTACGCTTCGCTGCACCGCACCACAGAGAGGCAGAGGCATCCTGGACGCCAGAGACTCAACAGGACCGGTCCACGGACAAGCCAATGGCTGCTTGCAGCAAGTGCCATGTGTCTGGCGGCCATGGGCTAGCATTTTCGGAGACCTCCGCGTGTGACAAAACAATAACACCGCCGGCACCACCACGAGCAACCACAACAAACACAGGCGCGCTCTTCCACGCTTTGTCACTGCTCCTACGCCTGCTCATATCGTGAACATACAAACCCTTCTCTCACCGCACTACCCCTCGGGCTGCAATCTAGACTTAAGTGGGTTGGCGCTGTTGGCAAAGCGCTGCAAAACACGCCACCCCAAATATAGCCCCCATAGTATGCGCTACCAAAGACGCGTGACGCATGGATGCGTGGAGTGAGGATTGCTTACGGAAATCTCACAGGTTGAGTGATGTACGAGATTGCCGGACACATAGACGTGTTGAGTGATTATAGCTGTATACTGAAACCCCAAGGGTTGAGTGAGGTTTGAGATTGCTAGGCACATGGACGGGGTGAGTGGGGATAGCTTCACACTGATACCTCACGGGTTGAGTGATGTTGGAGTGTCGGACACATAGACGCTTTGAATGAGGATAAGACACATATTGAACCTCACAGTTGATTTGTGATGGAGATTGCCGGACACCTAGACATGTTGAGTGACGATAGCTGCATACTGAAACCTCACAGATGCATAGGTTGTTGAATTTGCCAGACACATCGACGCGCTGAGTGGGGATAGCTACATACTGAAACCTCACGTGTTGAGTGATGTTGGATAGTGCCAGACACATAGACACTTTGAGTGAGGATAGCTGCATATTGAGACCTAACGGGTTGAGTGACGTTTGCGACTGCCGGACACATAGACGCATTGAGTGACGAAAGCTGCATACTGAAACCTCACAGTTTGATTTGTATTGGAGATTGCCGGACACATAGACGCGTTGAGTA